GTGTTTTAATGCCGGTTTTCTTAAATCAATCCTTATCAAAATGAACTGTCAAACGTCAATATGTTTTTGGTCAAAACAATAACGGTTTTCAAAGTTTTTACATAATTATTCAGATTGAAATTTGAGAGTTGAAGGTCATTTTCGTTTTCGTTTTCGTTTTCGGCCGAAAATGAGACTGCAGCCGAAGCTTCGTTTTCGTTTCCGTTTTCGGCTGAAAATCTATATTCGGTCGGACACTAATAATTTCCAAAACGTCGACAATGTCACAACTCTCCTCGGTCTCCCCTCGTCCACGTATGAAATAGGGCAGTGCCCACGAACTTGAGTACGGATGGTTTTCCTTCTTCGCTACACTCTTGATAGAGTGAGTGAGTGGTCGTCACACCTGGTTTGATGGCAAGCTTCACAATCCGTCGCCATTCTTCCCGTATTGCGGCCTTTCTTGTTCATACGTGGAATCACAGAGCATGGAATCGCCGCGCCCGCGCCGCCAGCTCCGGCACGGCGATTTCATGCTCTATGCGTGGAATAGACCATTTTTGACCTTGACCTGATCAGTCCGACGCATGGCGACCACGTGCTCTTGTGCCTTCCACTGCACGACAAGTCGTTTCACAGATGTAGGAGATGTTAGTCAATATTTTATTTATTGCAATTAACTTTGATTCTGTCTATGGTTGACTATGTTCGACCATTTGACAGCGTATAACAGCATTGGTAAAGTTTATAGCTTGAAACTATCGTGTGACAATGATATCCACATTATTTTCAGGTATATTCTTCATATTTATACAATTTTCACCTGGAAAATAATACGTAATTCAGGGCTTTCGAAGACAGACGCCCATACACAATCTGGTTGTATCTAGAAAAGCTAGCTAAACTACATATGTAGTTGGCTGGGTGGGTGTATAAATTCGAAGAGATGTCATCTTAAGCATTATTAATGACTGAAATGTGTTTATACGAGCAAAATTTATTCACTTACGTATTTCATTTTATTAAGTTAAAGTAAAAAAACTTCGAGTTTTTGAATCCTTAACACTAATTACGCGTTAGTCTACTGGACGCGCCTCTAATGCGGCAGGTGTTCAAAGCCGGACCCGCCTATATCTAGTAGGGTCCCGCAAACTAAGAAACGAACCTGTGGGATTAATGCTACTCGTACCAACCTCGATTCCGACCCTCGATAGCAAAATGACTAACGGCCTGCAAATTAGAGGTTTCCATTACTCTCTATCCAATTAACGTTGTAATAGGCAATAATTTTGCTCTCGATCCAACATTTGATTCATAATTCGTCAGGCTTTGGGCTCAGATTGGACCCAGGCAATCAGTCACACTTACAGTGATCAAGGTTAATCGTACCCGACCGCTGGTGACCGCGATTCACACCCACGGGTTCATAACATCTCATTTTAAAACAAAGGCCGTTTTTAAAATTGTTCCGTTTATTGCCAACAGTCATCGTCGTACGGAACCCCGACATTTTTTAAACTCAAATGGGTCCAACCTACCCATCATTTACAAAAAACAACTGACGAATATTATGTAACATACACCTGCAGTGATCCCTTTAATATTAGTCGAACAATTTAAGAAACGTAAAAATTGTGCAATGATGATAGCATTTAGAGAACATTGCATACAGACTTAGTCATACGGTAGCTACATAAACATCTATTTACATTGTGTATTGTCCTACCTACCAGAGAATTGAGCTTAGAACTTTATGTAGTCGAGAGAGCCTCACTCTTTTAGCACTACACCACGAATTAATTTATTTCATTGGTGACGAGTGATCCCAGTTTAATACAAAACAAAATAACAATAAACGTCACTACAAAGTACTGCTGCAGTATTCCCAACAAAGTAATAAGTGTCACAGGAAAAAATCAAATAAAACTCTACCTTTCATGTCCGTTTGTGTTTATTCCTTTTTGTCACAGGCCATAAGATTACGTTATACAAATATAAAACGAGAAAATTAATGTAACACCGTTGTAAGAAAACAAAGTACAAGTACAAACACGTCCGTCCTGGGACCCGCATTATCCCGATGTGGGTTAAGCCAAGTTGAGGTCAAAACGCCTAAGTAACTAAGCAAACATGATGCTATGTGCCCTACATTTGATGTTAATAGGGTACCTCAAAGTACCACAAACCCCATCAAATCACGGCACAGAAGAAAATAGTGGTCATTTATTTCCGTTTATGCACGCTCTTATTATTGCGCAAAAAATGGATATCGCTCTAGGAAAAGATTCAGTGTGCAAAAAATGAGTCGAGTGGCATAAACAAGGTTTCATCTCTTGGTTTCTTATATTAAGAAAATTGTCCGCACTTAATCTGAGTCTTAATGAACGTCAGGAGATAAATAATAGTCGGGAACGAATCCTGCTGAGATGATATGCGACAGCAGCAAAAAGGCTTCATAAGCCTTTCCTTATTTAATAAGAAAAACTAAAGTGTGTTTCCTCATTATTAAGCTCCTCCAGAAACAATATTTTTATTGTATGCTGTAATGCACCTTGTGTAAAGTACACAAGGTCTGTTACAAAGAGGTTCTCACATAGGATTTAAAGGTACCTATCATTGGTATTTGGTATCATGTATACTGAAAATATCTCTGTGATTGATCTTTGTGGAAGATAAATAAAGTTACTATTTATTACTCAAGGAACATACCTACTATTTCTTGATAGTATGTACTTAAAATATTTTGTTTTATTTTATTTCAGCACCTTAATCAAGATAAAATTAAATAATAACCTTCTTCCTCACGATAAAAATAACCAATTAACTTATCCCGTAATAGCAAAAAATTAAAAAGATTTAAGTTATAATTTTTGCAAGAAGAATTTGAATTTGTAAATTAAAGAATCAAGATAATTTAAAACCAGCATTAGAGTTTCAATTAAGAAGTTAGCAGGTACACCTACAAACTTTATTAATATTTTATGATATCAAATCTCTGAGCTTACGGTGTATCCATTGAAAGCTTGGTTTTTAAACAAGCTTTTATTAAAATCCCACTCCTATGAGTCTTAAAAGCTTTTATGGTAGCACTCAATACAATACATACCCAAATCATTTATTTATTTTTAGAATTCATTATTTATCTATTAAATCGCGTGTATTTTAACTTTACATCAATTTTTTCATGTAAAGTTAAAATGTGACATTCTCTATCAGTCCGTTTAAGAGGATACAGTTATGTACTAGTCTGTAGAAGGATATACTCGTAGTTATTAAAAATTCATTGCCCACATAAGTTTATAGACCTATAGTATTATATTATCCGGACCTCTAGCTTCCTCGTATAATCTTCCTAGCCAATTACTTAGTCTAAGTAAGATACAGCCCTGCTTTCGGACTACGAATTTCTGACGAGCTTAAATCGAGCTTAGAGAACAAAATGGCCGTTATAAAGATTTCAATTGGCCATTGAATAAAGTTATTCTTGCTGTACCTGCACTAAGGCTGAGTTGCACCATCTACCTTTAACCGTAATTTTAACGATAACACGTGTTTTTTGTATGGAGGTTGACAGATTTTTGACGTTTTTTAAAGTTAAAGTAAGATGGTGCATTCCAGCCTTAGTAAATGCACGATAATGGCCAATGGTTTTTGATAGATTTATGCTCTTTCGCTGCAGCTTCAGCTGTTCTATTAACTTCAGCAGTTAGCAAATCAGCGAAATAAGCCTCGTTTAAACGTCGAGAGTAGTCGGTCTCTTATTAACGATGAATGAAAGTACCCCTTATTTTCTTTATACTTTATACCTATAGAGTCTGGTACTCGTTCCAAAAAGATTTACTCATACGCATTTAGAAAAATGACAAAATATGTAACAAGAACTGATGATTAGCCGTCTTGTTAGAAACTAACTCAAAAGTCAATTTGAATAAAATTGATGATGGAATTTTGAGACGGTGTGCTAAGGGTACTTTGTCGTTATAGCTACAGAAAATTGTTCTTCAAACACTGATCTCCACTGAAAAAGACGAAGAGATTACCGATATCCAATCAATCGACCCAGTTTTTGACGAGGATTTAAAGACCAATGCCTACTAGAAATGTAAGAGTTCCCAACAGACTCTCCTCGATACAATTCGTAGGAAAGTCTAATAAGAATATCAAAGCACATTATTAAACAGCGAAGGATTTGGAATTTGTATCCACGAAACACTAAGCAGTTCACATAAATAGAATCATATCTATTACCTACTCACTTCGGGTTACGAAAATTGGCATCATCCTATAAGAAAAACCGGTTTGAAAATCCCTTTTATATTATTTTCTTGTCATTCATTACTTTTTGTACATTAATATGGCAATCAAAGGCTAAATCTAAGTAACATGCAAATATGAATGCAAAACAAGTGAAAATTATGCGTATTAATCATGGGGAAAAGTAGAAGGGACCCGTTTAGCAGTACCTAAGGTTTGACCCCTCCTGCCTATAAAGTGCACGGTAACAAGTGACTCACTGTCCAGCGCCAGATGGCCAGGGATTACTAATCTCTTTTGCAATAATTAAACACACCTGCTTTCATTAAGTTATGCACATCGAAACAATGCAGTAGTAACTCATATTATTATAACAGCGTTGTTTAACTCGCGGTCAAGTTTCTGCGGTAATGCGAAAAGCCTCAGAAACTTGCGTAACTAGACGTAGAGCCGGTAGAGTCGATTATAGGTTAGTCTTGCATGAGTAATTTATTTATATGAGTACTGGAAATAGTCACTCGAAGCTATGCGGAGACTTTGAATATAAAACTGTAAAACTGTTACTTAGTTTGGTATGCGAAAACTGGGAGTGAATTAGCACTTTGATTAACTTTACTATTTTGACTTGCTTGGAAAAAATCATGCAGTTTTGACAGTTACTTTAAATAATCCAACTATAAACAACAGAATCAAAAGTAGAGCAAAGAGTGCAAAGAGCGTTGAAACTGTAAACAAAGTAACTCCGAGCGTTCGAAAGTTTCAAATACCTGTGACAAGTCCGCGTCTTCTCTAAGTTTCTCGGCGATGGTCATTTTCCTGTCGGCGGCGACTATGCCGGCGCACATCACTAAGAACCACACTAGTCCACCCATGATGAGCACAAGTAATCCGTGAATGTCACAAGTTGTTCACAACACTCGCGGGCCTCATCGGCGGAGGGCGATCACACGCGTGGAACGGAGGAACGCGCGGCGTCGAATGACGGATGACGGGCCCGCCCGACCCGATCACCCGACCCTTCCACTGCGTGCGTCCCGCGGCCGTTAACAAAAACTGGTCATCCTACTCCTCCGTAAAAACCGCCGTTGCCGTTCAAAAAGCAAAAGTGACATAACGATGCATTAGTAACACAATAATCACAAAAGGATTCGAGATGTTATCTGGAAGGAATGTATTGCGTGCGCTTCAATCGGACGCTCTCGAATTGTGAGAGGCATTATAATGGACTTTAGAGAACGTTGATTAATATGCACAATACTCTGCATACTGCATTGCAGTTAGTATCAAGAAATATACAATACTTACTTTAAAATAGGATAACAAAGTTATAATATCACTACTAACTACTATGAGTAGAATTTCTTATTTAAATGCATTAATTTGGGAAGGACGAAACAACGATTAGATTTCAATCTTACAAGCATCAAACGGGTCAAGAAAGGCCACTACTGTAGGTAGATACACAGTAGAGTCGTATTAATCAGGCACAATCAGTCAAGTCAAACAGGAACCTATAGGATTTATTTGCAAACCAATCCACACCCAACCGTTGTAAGCGTGCTAACGATTGACGAGCATATTCATTCATTTCAGGTAATTGAGGGCATTTAGCCACCTCATTTTAAAGCACTTACCAAATAATTTTGTACACAGGAAAATAGTTATCAGGGGACCTTGCCGTGACAACACGTTACACCTATTTCTAATCTTTATAAAGAAAGTAATGGTACACAAAATTAACGTGATCTGTAACCGTATATGGCTATAGCCTCAATACTCAACTATTCGAGAAAATCCTCTTACAATACTTAGTACTGGAATAAAGTTTCGACTGCTTATAAAACTTTCAAACGTGCCGTAATATCTGACAATACCCGTCAGTCATACACATCTTAGTTCTAGAATTACCGTACTTACCTACTTATTCAACTTTGTTGATAGGTACTTCCAAACTAGATAACTAAAACCTAAAACTCAGAATAATAAAAATATTGCATTTCCTACCGGATTTCAGAATTAGATTTTCAGTATTTTTATGGAAAAATTAATGATATTTTTTATCCAATAACAAATAGTCCTGTAATTAAGTACCTATTTTATTGTGTCTCTGAAAATGCTCTACTTATTTGAATACATGACACATAGTGCTTATCTATTTAATACTCATACTTACGACAATCTTAATATACTTTATGCAAATATATTCAAATTTTCCTTACATATCTTTGACTCGAATTCATAAACCTAAGAGCTACTTAGTCCTTGGGAAAATTGTATTTCATATTAGGTACTTAAATAATTATCAAGAGCTTTAATGGGCAATATTTCGTCGCTAGGACTCAGAAATGTATCTTTTTTGACAGCACTTTCGAGAATATGTAGCTTAGAATATCGATATAACTAACCAAGTTAGGGAGATATGGCTCATTCGAAATATAATTATCCATCCAGTCTCAGTAAAAAAAAAACTTCTAATAAAATAGAACAGGACAGAGCTTGAAAGCAAAGGCTACTTCTGTAACAAAACATGAATGATTTTGCCAAAATCTATTCGGTTAAGATATTTGAGACAAGTCAAAAACAATTTCTCTTCATTTCTACTGCAAACAGCCACGGACTGGAACTCCTACCTGTCAATGTAGGAATGATTAAATTACTGGATAGGCAATCGTACTTCTACATTTAGAATCTTAATAACACATCAAGATTGTAGACTAAAATACCTGCACATTAATGTGAAAAACTGCTAAATTGCTTGTCATATCATGGGGCTCTACATAACCATTATCTCTTTAACTTTGCCGCTCTATAACTTCGGCAGCCGGTAGCTAGTTAAATCAACCCCGTCCAAGCCGTGTCGAGAATGTTAGGATATTGGGAGTTATAATAACCGACGTGTTTTTGTTTGGACAGTCTTTACCTGGGACCCTGGCTCCGGCAAACGTGACGAGCACGCATTAACGGCCGTTGTTGCCTGTCCCTTTCATGTTAACCCGTGATTCAAACATGATTGTGTTCACAATCAGAATGTTTGAATATCAACAGTTAATGTGATGAAGTAGGCACGTATTTTGAATAGTGCCTGTGCACTTTTTTTCAGAAATCATTGTTAAATTAAAAGTGTTTTAAATGTATTTTTTACAGCAAGCGCAAATTAGGCCTACAATAAATAAACAATACGTTTATTTCAAATGAAACATCAGTTTTTTATAATATTCTACAACATCAAATTGTTTTGTCGAAATAATATGTCATGTACTAATCAGATGTTTCGATATCATTTTATTTACATAATTCAATACATAAAAATTAAAAATATTTCATGTTCGCTATTCGTAAATGTGCCGTTCGTCGATATTTATATTTTAGCTTTTATATGTACCTGTTACACTTAGGTATTACTATTTTTTAGAGTTCAGGCTTAAGGCACAGGTCCCAGCTCGAGCGAAGCTAACTTTGTTTCTAACTATGCGAGTGTATGAACTTACGATCTATTCAATACTAGCTTTCCGCCCGCGGCTTCGCCCGCGTGGAATTTTGTCTGTCACAGAAAAACAATATCGCGCGCGTATTTGCTCACCGTTTAGACCTACCCTGGACTACGACAAACATTTTAAAACCAAAATTAGCTCAATCGGCTCAGTCGTTCTCGAGTTTTAATCAGACTAACGAACATCAATTCATTTTTATTTATATAGATTATCAAATCAATAGCAACCTGTCAACCACAAAGGTATACTATGTTATGAGTCTAAGCATCAAAAGTCAGCTACCGAAACATTCTTCAATTACTTTGCATGATGTGGATACATCATGAGGTATCATGTACATGTATGAGGTATCATATTCATATCCTACTTCTACAAATATTATACTGTACATGTGAAAGATTGTGAGGAAGGGTGGTGTTACTCTTTCACTGAAAAACTATTGACGTTGATGAAACGTTACGGTATTGGTTTATACATTAATATAATAGACTGCAAAAATAGGATGTAATTTTAACACTAGTGTCAATTAAGTCGGTTTTTCTATGACACTGAATTTCACGACGACGAAGCAGCGGGAAAAGCTAGTGATGTATAAAAAGCCTTTACATGTACGTGAGGAAAGCAGAGCCAAATTAGCTTAGCCCCGGTGTGGCTGGCGCCTAAGGCCACGTAATATCGTCGTCACGTTGTCTAAATCCGACCCCATTTCCCTCGCACTCTCATCAGCGTTCAAAGTAACATAAATATTGTTGTTTGTTTTAACTGCTCGCGAAGATGACGCCCGGGGCACAGGATACATGTTAGGACGATCCCCGCGCCAAACTTTACAAACTGAATCGGCGCGGAATCCGTTTGTATTTTATGTTATTATTAATATTGTTACATTAAACATTCATGTTTGAAAAGTTTTGGGAAAATTATATTGATTATCCACAACGAGGAAGGTCTCTGCCGGATAAAAAGTAACGATCAGGCTAAAGTTAACACGAATCCTTAACCATGAAGCAACTGGCTAGTCTTAACTTCAACTGCCGAAATATGACAATGCCGCTAACATTGTTGCTTTGGTGACAAACTTTGGTAATATTATAGTAGCTAGCCAGGCGAACTTCAAACAAGCCCTATGCCTCATACCGAACCAAATAAGTATTTTTTACTCCAGAATCAAAACCATTTAGCAATGATCACAACTTCTACAGAGTAAAGTCTTTTCTAAGCACCGTTAATCTTTCATCAGTCAATAAACCTAAACTGAAATGGAGTAGACACCTAGCTGTATTAATTTCACTTACGAGCTTTTAGTCGCTTCAGTCCAGCGCTGGGCTAGTTTACAGCCCATTTCCTTCAGCTACTGCAGCGAGCCAGTGCTATCCCTCAGGATTATTGCACACGCTTGGGAGCCCGTATACCGGAGTTATTGTTTGCGCGCTAGGTGGCGCTGGCTTATTAGAATTTCAGCGGAGTCCGCTCTAAGGCGGCTTACAGTAACTCCTTTGAGTTGAACTTTTCGGCCAGACTAAAAGCTGCCGCCGTAACTTCGTTAAAATTCACAAAGACCGCGCCTACACTTCTGGTAGTGTCATTGAATGAAAACCCAAATAAACTGGTCTAGTAAAATATTATTAATTCTTACTTGATAAGTTTAGATATTTTGTACTTAGGCACAGACGACAACCAACACATCAGACTATGTAACTACCTGTAAAATAATTTCTTTGCAAAATATGGAACACTCATTACAATTTCCTTGACGTGCTGTACCTCTAGTAGGAAAAACTTTCGAGTTCGTTTCGTTGCGTATTCAAAGTGTCATCGAAAAATTTTGTATGAAAAATTAAACAGCGCCCCCTATATTATAGCCGCCCTAGGGGGCGCTGTTTAATTTTTCATACAAAATTTTTCGATGACACTTTGAATACGCAACGAAACGAACTCGAAAGTTTTTCCTACTAGAGGTACTGAGGTACCATTTATTTTAAAGAAATGTGTAATTTAATTAATATTTAGTCGATACAAACACATTATTATTATGTACCTACTTATCCAGTTTTAACATTAAAGGCTTTACAAATATCACAATGTCTTATAGGATCAAAGCAAACGTCTCCAAAGGAAAATACTTATTAATAATTAATATACCTAATGATCCTAAAATTGTCTGAACCCAGTTAGGGTTGGTTCTGTTGGCTAGTAATTAAATGTTTGAGTGACTTGACAAATTATTTTAGCTTTTTCGTTAAAACTTTGCTTTGTAAGAAAAATCTAAAGGTTAATTATTATTACGACTTTTTAGTTGTAAACTAACTAAAGGTCGACGCACACCCCACCCAATCTGTCATAGCAAAGTATCCAATGATGGTAACTTTGCACCATATTAATTA